TCAGAATACCAACTCTTCTTTTTTATAAAACTTATTTTGAGGACCACTTTAGTGAGCAAAACTATGTGATAGCCACTAAAGTGATAAATGCACCTAAGGTCTTAGGAGATGCTATGGATCAAAGAATATAAAGACTGTTTTGAGTAATTTTTTGTCACCTCACTGAATCAAGAGCCCAGCTGAAGTTAAAAATCATGAATTTATAGAGGCATTAAAAGCCACATTATTGTATGACTTTTTTTCCAGAGGATCAAGAGCAGAGATGGTGGGTAGCTGTATCAATCCAGAATTAAGGTTTTGTCAGTGAATGTTCAAGAGGACTAGGGGACAAGGAAATTGAGGATACTGATGAAAAGGTAGCTGATTAGTTAAATTGTAGAATATGGCCCACTAGTAGCTGTCTCTCAACATTTATTCCCTTCTTCTTCTATTGTAATTGCACCCCCAATTTCTTGCTGCGTGCATGGTCATGTAATAAATGTGACCATTTATTTAAGTTAGTATATTACATAACTTGCCAGTGTCTAGGATCTGGCTAACTGGGTTTAAGAAGTGGTGTGGACAGCTCACAGTAAATGTTCTTAATGTGAGGCAGTATGCCCTTCTCTCCTTCCACTTTCCTGCTGGTTGGAATGCAGACTGAAGCTCCAGGAGCCATCCTGGCCCATAAAATAACTTCAATAATGAAAGTCACGTAGACTGAGCAACAAGACAGAAGGAGCCTGGGTCCTTAAACCTTGATGGGAGGTTTGGTAGAATAGCCCTAAGGTTCAAACTCAACACCCATGTAAGGTGACTTTTTGTTTGTTTGTTTGTTTAGATGAAACACAGAGCTTGAGAAAGCCAGTTTAGTTCTTTTTTTTTAAGATTTTGTTTTTCCTTTTTCTCCCCAAAGCCTCCCAGCACATAGTTGCATATTTTCAGTTGTGGGTCCTTCTAGTTGTGGCATGTGGGATGCCACCTCAGCATGGCTTGACCAGCAGTGCCATGTCCGTGCCCAGGATCCGAACCAGTGAAACCCTGGGCTGCCAAAGTGGAGCACGTGAACTTAACCACTCGGCCACAGTTTAGTTCTTATTCCTCCATCTATTGTAGTTAATCTTTTTTTTTAAACAGCTTTATTGAGATATGGTTCACATACCATAGAATTCACCTACTTAAAGTGTACAACTCAATGGTTTTTAGTATGTTCACAGAATTGTGCAGCCATCACTATAGTCAATTTTAGAATATTTTTATCACCTCAAAAAGAAACCTTGTATTCTTTAGCTATCATCCCCTCTTCCCCTGAACCCTAAGGAACCACTAATCTACTTCCTCTCTTTACAGATTTCCCTATTCTGGACATTTCATATAAATAGAATCATATTATATGTAGTCTTTTGTGACTGGCTTCTTTCACTTAGCATAAGTGTTCAAGATTTGTCCATTCCTTGTCCATGGTGTAGCATCTATCAGTTATACTTTTCTTTTTATGGCTGAATAATATTCCATCGTATAGATAAAGCACATTTTTTATCCATTCATCAGTTCATGGACATTTGGGTTATTTCCACCTTTTGGCTATCATGAATAATGTTGCTACAAATATTGTGTACAGTTTGTGTGGACATGTTTCCATTTCTTTTGGGCATACCTAGGAGTGGAATGCTGAGTCATGTGGTAACGCTAGGTTTAACATTTTGAGGAACTGCCAGACAGTTTTCCAAAGCAGCTGAACTATTTTACACTCCCATCAGCAGTGTATGAGAGGTCCGATTTCTCCACATCCTTACCAATGCTTGTTATCTGACTTTCTCATTCTAGGCAGCCTAGTGGATAAAGTGGTGTCTCATTATAATTTTAATTTTCAGTTCCCTGATCGCTAATGATGTTGAGCAACCTTTCATGTCTTTATTGGCCGTTTGTATATCTTCTTTGAAGAAATGCCTTTCCAGATCCTTTGCCCATTTTTTAACTGTTATTTGTCTTTTTGTTTATTTTTTATTTTTTATCTTTTTTTTTTTAAGGAAGATTAGCCCTGAGCTAACTACTGCCACTCCTCTTCTTTTTGCTGAGGAAGCCTGGCCCTGAGCTAACATCCGTGCCCATCTTCCTCTACTTTATGTGGGACACCTACCACAGCATGGCTTGCCAAGCAGTGCCATGTCCGCACCCGGGATCCGAACTCGTGAACCCTGGGCCGCCGAAGCGGAATGTGCACACTTAACCGCTTCGCCACTGGGCCAGCCCTGTCTTTTTATTATTGAGTCATATCAGTTTTTGTATATTCTAGATAAACGTCTCTTATCAGATATATGGTTTCCAAAGATTTTCTCTCATTCTGTGGGCTATCCTTTCATTTTCTTGATAGTGTCCTGTAAAGCACAAAAGGTTTTAATTTTGATGAAGTTCAATTTGTCTATTTTTCCTTTTGTCGTTCATGCGTTTGATGTTATATCTAAGAATCCATTGCCAAATCCGAAGTCAAGAAGATTTAGACTTCTGTTTTATTCTAAGAGTTTTTATAGTTTCAGCTCTTACATTTAGGTCTTTGATCCATTTTGAATTAATTTTTGTACACTCTGTGAGATGACAGTCTAATTCTATCTTTTGCATGTGGCAAAAACAGCGGTTTGTGCAATCACGCCCTTGTCCCAGCACAGTTTGTTGAAAAGACCATTCTTTCCCCATTGAATGGTCTTAGGACTTTCGTCAAAAGTCAGTTGACTGTAGACTTATGGGTTTATTTCTAAACTCTCAATTCTATTCCATTGGTCTATATGTCTATCGTCATGCCAGTACCACAGTGTCTTGATTATTGTTGCTTTGTAGTAAATTTTGAAATCAGAAAGTGTGTGTGATATTGTGATTTATAATAAGAAATATATAGTTGGTGGTCCTGTTTCCGGCACAGAGCTCCTAAAACCCTTGGAATTTCCTAAGAGCAACGGGAGCATCTTTCACTATAGTATTTGGTCTTTTTTTTTTTTTAATTTTTCCTTCTTCTCCCCAAAGCCCCCCAGTATAGTTGCATATTTTAGTCATGGGTCCTTCTAGTTGTGGCATGTGGGACGCCGCCTCAGTATGGCTTGATGAGCGGTGCCAGGTCCACACCCAGGGTCCAAATTGGTGAAACCCTGGGCACCAAAGCAGAGGGTGCAAACATAATAACTCGGCCACGCCACAGGGCGGCCCCGAGTATTTGGTCTTTTGTCCTTGGTTCCTGAAATGGCTCCAGAGCCTAATGAGCCCCATTCAATCACACCAGACTTTATGTTAATGAGGTGACTTCTGGAAAGGCCCTAAGGATGGAGGCTGCTTGCCAGGGGAACCAACAACATGACTAGAGAGTAGGAAATTTCAGCCCACCCTCTATCCCTCACCTCTGGGAAGAGGAGAGGCACTGGAGGTTGAATCAGTCACCAATGGCCAATGATTTAATCAATCATGCCTCTGAAACAAAGCCTCTATAAAAACACAAAAGGACCGGACTCAGAGAGCTTCCTGGTTGGTGAACACACTCATGGTACATTCCAACTCCACAGGCACAAAAGCTTCTGGACTTGAGACCCTTCCAGACCTCACCCTGTGTACCTCTCTTCATCTGGCTGTTCATCCGTATCCTTTATCATATCCTTTATAATCGGTAATCTAGTTAGTAAATTGTTTTCCTGAGTTCTGTGAGTTGCTTTGGCAGATTAATTGGACTGAAGGATTGAGGCGTGGGAACCTCTGATTTATAGCCAGTCTGTCAGAAGCACAAGTAACACCCTTGACTTTCAATTGACGGGTGGGGGAAGGGCAGTCTTGTGGGACTGAGCCCTTAACGTGTGGATCTGAGGCTATCTCCAGGCAGATAGTGTCAGAGTTGAGTTGAATTGTAGGACACAGCTGGTGTCCCAGACTTGCTTGATGTGTGGCAAACCCACACATCTGGTGTCAGGAGTGAAGTAGTGTGGTAGGGATGTGAGAGTAAAGGCGACACAGGAGGAGGAGTGTTTTCTCTTTATAGTGTGAGTCCTATAATGCAACTTTTTGCAGACAGGCTGAGGTCCCAAGTAATATCAGAGGGTAGATGAAGCTAGAAGGTCACAGCCTCTGCTCAGGATTCTAGAATAAAACTTAGGTTAAAAGATTATGGTGACTTAGAAAATACCACATACACTAACATGTCTTAGGAGAAGAATTAGTTATTTCCTGGTTAGCATAGTATCCCATATCCTGGGAACAAGAAGTTCAATTCCCCAGCATGAAACCATCAACCTTCTGTTCTTAGGGAAATGGATAGGTCTGACTTTGTTTTTTTTTTTTTAAAGATTGGCACCTGAAGTAACATCTGTTGCCAATCTTTCTTTTCTTCTTCTCCCCAAAGCCCCCTGGTACATAGTTGTATACTCTAGCTGTAGGTCCTTCTGGCTCCGCTATGTGGGACACTGCCTCATCTTGGTCTGACGAGCTGTGCCATGGCTGCACCCAGGATCCTAACCAACGAAACTCTGGGCCGCTGAAGTGGAGCATGCAAACTTAACCACGGGCCAGCCACTAGGTCTGACTTTAAGCCACACTCGTCCTACTTCGAAGTTGTTTGTTCCTGTGCAAGTTACTTTGGCTCCAAGCCTCACTTTCCTCATTGATAAATAGGAGTGACTATACCTACTTCACAGAGTTTTTGTGAGGATTATAAGCACAAAAGTTCTTCTCCTTCCCAGGACCCTCCTTCTTACAGGGGAACAATATTTGTCAAGGATTTAGGGATTAAGGAACAAAAGCAAAGACAAAAATAAAAAGCTTGTAAGTGAGAAACTAGATGTGTTTCTTGCGCAGAAACCATTTTGGATGTCCTTAGGCAGTAATTTAAGGAGACTCATACTGGAGATTTCAGATTTTTTTTTTTTTTTAAAGATTTTATTTTTTTCCTTTTTCTCCCCAAAGCCCCCTGGTACATAGTTGTATATTCTTCGTTGTGGGTCCTTCTAGTTGTGGCATGTGGGACGCTGCCTCAGCGTGGCTTGATGAGCAGTGCCATGTCCGCGCCCAGGATTCGAACCAACGAAACACTGGGCCACCTGCAGCGGAGCGTGCAAACTTAACCACTCGGCCACGGGGCCAGCCCCTGGAGATTTCAGATTTAATGTGCATCAGAATTTGTGTGGAAGTTGAAACTGGCTCAGGGAGATTATCTAGAATGAAGAGAAGGAGGGCTGAGAATGGACCCTGGGCAACGCCCATATTTAAGGGGCAGGTAGGGGAAACAAGGGGGGATCCTTGAGGAGGTGCAGTTTCTTTCAGTACTTAGTGTGCATGTGTGTATGTGTGTGCACGTGTATGCATGCACACACATGCACGCTATTAAAATAATCTCAAGCTTGTCTAGTTCAACCTCTTCTTTCTAGATCTAGGAACTCTACCCACCCCACCCCCCATTTTGTTGTACTGGTGTCCTGTGGTATGGTTAAGATGATGATCATACGGGGTAATGAATGAGGGATCCAGCAAAGTCCTGTGATGGGGCAATGACCAGTTTAATGCAAGTTCAGGGAGGAGCAAGGCCCTCCCTGCATCTCTGTGAGAAGAAACTGGTGTAGACCCTGGAGGCTGATGATGGGCATGTTGTTATTCAACTGCAGGTCTATCTAATGGAGTATGAGGGCTCAGCTCCCAAGCCTCTCCTGGGCACAGAAATCTCCTAGCCTGGACCCTCTCTCTTTGTGGGCAACCTCAGGGATGAGCTTCTAGGTTTCCGAAGGCCCCTCTGGAAACCCTGCTCCTTGCTACCCTTCTCCCTGATCTGCTTTCCGTACATTGTCTTTATGTCCCCTCCCATAGTCTCCTGCACCCCAAATAAACCAAATCAAAACAAGACCTGTTTTCTTCTTCTTTCCACTTGGTTTGATGGCCAGTCAAACCTGGGACCCAAGCAATTAGTAACTGATAACTGGTGCCTCTTTCCGAGATATTCCAGTCCATCCAGAAAGTGTCTTGCATTCTTCTATTGCAGGAAATAAAAGGAAAAAATAAGATTCTATGTTAAGAAAAACTGAAGATTCATATCTTGCTACCATATATTTTAAACATAGCTGGCATCGTATGCGATATATACGTTTGTATCCTGCTTTATTTATTTAATATTATAGTCTGAGAAATTTGTCATATGGTCAAAATGCTTCCTAAGCATCATCTTTAAGAGCTGCATAATTGACATTTCATATTATAACATTTTTAAATCATTTCTATCGCCAATCCAATGGTGCTTAACACATATGAACCTGTCTGACAAAATAGGAAAGTTGAATTCTAGGTTCTTGTTGAAAAGCACAGTCTCAGTCTAATGTCCCATGACATTTATCAAAGGGAGGATTATTTAAAGAATGGCAGCAGGGCCGGACCCATGGTGGAGTGTTAAATTTATGCGTTCTGGTTTGGTTACCCAGGGTTTCCTGGGTTTGGATCCTGGGCATGGACCTAGCACTTCTCATCAAGCCATGCTGAGGTGGCATCCACATAGCATGACCAGAAGCACCTACAACTAGAATATACAACTATATTCTGGGGGGGCTTTGGGGAGAAGGAGAAGAAGAAGAAAAAGAAAAAAAAGATTGGCAATAGATGTTAGCTCAAGTGCCAATCTAAAAAAAAAATAATAATAATAAAAAGAATATCAGCCCACTTACTCTCAGGTACTCTATAATCTCCAGAGCAGTACAGAATGATGTGCCTGACCTACATCCTGCTCACCTGGTACCATGTTTTGATGTTGGGTCAGGAGACCCAATGAGAAAAGCTGGAAGCCTCAGCCAGTAGAAGCGGTCATTTGTCTACACAAAGATACTATTGAGGTCATCAGTCATGACCTTACACAGTGTCTCTTTTCATGAGAACCTTCTGTATCTTGTGGAGTAAATCTGTGTCTGGTCTTATTACCAAGAATAGTTGGTCTTCTCCTGAGTGATTGGTCTGCTCCTATCTCACGAGCACTGTGAATTGCGTAACTGATCAGATCTCCCTTTATCCATGGGCTGCCAAAAAGCTTGTAGGCACATTTGTGGCCTCCTTTTAGCAAGTGTATAGGTCAAATAATACATATGTTTAGTCTCATTCCTAGCCTTGTTTTATGTCCTCACCATTATTTTTTCTTTCTTCCACAGAATTCTTAAAATTGTGTTGTGTTTTATCTAGCTCTGCCTGCTGCCTTAAGCCATTTCTGGAACTAGGCAGTCGGGCACAGTGGTTCAGGGCCTGGCTGCAGAATGGGAGCCACTTCCTGTCTGTGTGTCCTTGGGCAAGTAAGTTCCTTATGTCCTCTGTACCTCAGTTTCCTCTTTGGGATAAAAGAGGAAAAACAGTATCTACCGCATAGAGTTCCGATGAAGACTAAATGACAAAATACGTGTAAAGACCTTAGATTTGAACTTAGCTCATAGTTAAGGGCTTAAAAGAAATTTTAAAATAATTAAAAAGAAATAATCATGATCATTCTCCTATTGTTGGAGTTTTACCTTTACTCCTATAAGGTAAAACTCCATTGCCAGTGGAGTGACTGGGCAAAGAAAACGCATGTTTTGAAGGCTGAGTGCTAATTTTCACATCACGGAAGAAGCTCCAGGCTTAGCATGCGTTTGTCACTGCTGAGTACTATTACTTTTAAGAATCCTTGCTGATGAGACAGGCAAAAAGGGAGTATTATTGTCATTTCAGTCTACATTTTGGTGATAACTATCATTGAGATTGAACCTTCTGACCAAAATCACTATGTTTATTTATTTATCATTTATATTTCTTCTCTCTCTCCATCTTTGCAATTTTCTCACTGAGGTCTTTGTGTTTTTCCTTTTACCTATTTGAATAAGATGAAGGACTCTATTTTCTGTCTCCAGTCAACTTCTCAAAGAGAGGAAGGCAGGGTAGTAGAGGGACTTGAGAGAAGAGTCACAGGGCATGGAAAAGGAGCGACCAGGAACACATGCATGGATGCTCAGGGCAGCACGTGGGTCCTGCAGAGTGAACTGTCATCTTATTAACTGAGGATGGATGCTTAGTTCTAGAAACAAAACATACTCCACACAATTAATAGAATATCTCCGTAATCTGTCTCTTCTTATCCTTTTAAAACATGACCAATTCCAGAAAAATAGTTAAACATTAAGTTTCGTTCTTTCAGTTGAAATAAAATTCCTTGGATTACAAAGCAATTTCAAGCTGATAATCAAACACTTCTCTGTTGCAAAGACTGTGGAAAAGTAATTATTTTTGTAACCATGGAAACCCAGCTGATGCCATGGTTACATAAACAGCTTGCCAGATAATTTTTAGGAAACCAGGTCAAACAAATCACTATATCTACTAAAATCATTTCATTTCGGAAATGCTTTCTTTCATTGCCAGTGGAGGGAAGTTAGATGGTTTGGCATTGTGTTGCACACCCAGCTCAACTTCTTAGCTTCTCTTTTTTTGACATTTTAGCTTTCTCTGTTCTTTTAAAACAATTTTAATAAGTATAAAGCACATGCCATGATAGTTCTTTAATCTGTTCTCTGATTTCTCCTAATAAAGTCCCTGGATATACTGGCCCATTTTCCTGAGGATACTGACAAACCAAAAGATGCCATGCCCAGCCCATAGCCACATGCTAGACAGAGCTATACAAACCTCATTGACAATTTATTTCATGCACAACTACAGTTTTGGATAATTAGGGAAAATCGGTTCCAAGCTTTTTTTTTTAATTTCTTTTATTTTTATTTATTTATTTTGAGGAAGATTAGCCCTGAGCTAACTGCTGCCAATCCTCCTCTCTTTGCTGAGGAAAACTGTCCCTGAGCTAATATCCATGCTCATCTCCCTCTACTTTATATGTGGGATGCCTACCACAGCATGGCATGCCAAGCAGTGCCATGTCCGCACCCGGGATCCAAACTGGCGAACCCCAGGCCACCAAAGCGGAATGTACACACTTAACTGCTGTGCCACCAGGCTGGCCCCCAGTTCCAAGCTTTTGATGTTCAATTGGTAAATAGATGTGAAGGTTGACTCTCTTCTAACTCATTATCCTTTTTTTCAATTTTTTTAAAAAGATAACATGTCTTGAATGCCCCTCTATACCAAGCCCTGTTCTAAGTGTTTTACATATATTAACTAATTCACCCCTTACAATAACCCTGGGAGACTGAGGGTAATTATAGCGATGATAATCACAACAATATTCCTATTTTACCAATAAGGAGATGAAGGCACAGAGAGGTTATGTACTTTGCCCAATGCCTCACAACTGAGAAATGATGTTCAACAACTGTTATTATAAGCTTCTTTCCTACCACAGGTACTCCTCTCTCACTGGACTTTCTACCACTTCCTCCTCCATCCGCAGTGAGTGCCTCAAAATTATGAGTCATATTCTCTACCAAAATACTGTAGTGGACAAAACAGTAGATTATAAGTCACACAACTTGGATTCATGTCCAATGTGGCTTTGGTAAAGTCACTTAATCCTATTGGACTTTGGTTTTATCATCTGTCAGATGGGAATAATAATAATAATACCTATATAGCCTCCCAGGGCAGTCATAAAAATCAAAGGGGCCGGCCCGGTAGCATAGTAGTTAAGTTCGCATGCTCCATCTTGGCAGTCTGGGGTTCATAGGTTCAGTCCCGGGCACAGACCTAGCACCACTCATCAAGCCACACTGTGGCAGCATCCCACATATGAAATAGAGGAAGACTGGCACAGACGTTAGCTCAGGGCCAATCCTCCTCACACACACACACACACACACAAAATTAAATGAGATGATAGAGATGAAAAGTCTTTGTAAGGTGAAAAGTCTTTGTAAGGTGAAAAGTCTTGAGCACCTCCAATGACTTTTATATCTATGGCCTTGGGAATTGTCTGGGAGGTTTCACAGAAGAGGCCATATTAGAGCTAAGTTTTGAAGGGCGTATGTGTGTCCTAATATAATCACAGATAACATTAACTGAGCAACTACTATGTTCCAGGCTCTGTGGTAAGAGCTCTATGTGCATTATCTCATTTAATCCTTACCTCAACTGTATGAGGACATTCCGGTAGTTCCTACTCACCTTGCTCATCTAAATACCTGTTACCATGATTCAAGAGTGGATTGGTCATGCTTGTGTCCACCAGTCACAGCCCAAAGAGAGAAGTACCAGTGGCTGGAACAACAAACTGCACAGGCTTTGAAGGTGGCATGCCCTGCCATGCCAAGCCATGCCCTGGTGAGCTCAATAGAGACATAGTGATGGAAACAACTCGCTTTGGTCAGTGGACACATCCTGAGAGGGTACAGCCCGGGACATGACTAGGACGTCAGTTAGACCAGGTTTTTCCCATTGCACTGGGAGACTTGCGAGGCTTTTCCTAACTAGTTTTGACAATTATTCTGGTTTAAGCTTTGCGGGCCTTCAGTCAGACCAAGGGCGCAACAAGCGGTCCCAGTGAAAAGACTAGTAACCTGGGTTGTCAAAAAACAGACCCCTAACTTATATAATAACAAACTAGAGAATGTATTTTAAGGCTTAAGCAATGCAGTATCAGTCAAGTGAATTATCATTGCTGATTTTTGTTTATGTTTCCAAACATCATACCTGAAGCAGTTACTACAACTGAAATTCGAAATGAACCATTGAAGCAATTGATACACAAAACAGGAGGCAGCAAGGGCATGAGGGGCAGGCTTTCCGGACTATGGGAGCATGTCATGTATCTGAACATGCAGGGCCCCAAGAGAGGACAAGTAGTCGAGGGATGTGGACAGGAACAGGGGTGGGTCTGGAGGACATAACTCATGTCACAACACACCAAGTTAATTTTTAAAAACCATTTTTTCACTTCAGGACCAGAAATTCTATTATTCATCTTTAAGACAAAAATAAAGAAATCCCAAACCCTTTTGATTGTTTACCAGATATGACAAGCAGAATTTTGATGAGATAAATGAGTGAGGTTGGCTCCATCTCACATGTGACTGATGCTTT